ACAGAGCTTTCTGACAACACGTTCTCCAAGAGTACCTTCTGTTGCAACGACTTTTTTTCCGCAGTAAATCATATATGTACCCCGTCATAGAGTCGCATCTTTGCCATATTTTAATTCCTCTTTTCGTAGGTTTTAACGGCATATATTGTTTCAAAGGTGAACGGCCTTTGAATTTGACCATCGTTTCGTCTATTGATTGGTGGGAACTCTCAGTTCTTGCTTTGAGGAAAGTCTTTTTTAGAAACTCTACAACATCGTCAATATAATATGTTTTGGAACAATCCGCAGGTTTTTCAGGATAAGCGAAATACAGTTTTGACAGTAGAAATATGCACCTATCTCGTCCAATCGCCTCTCTTATAACACGGTTGCCAAGCGAGTCATTATTCGACCAATAATGTGCGAAAGATGGTACTCTATTATAAGACATTACTAATGAACAGCCAAGGACGATCATAATTTCATACATATCAGTGTGCTGGGTATTTTAGTTTGAATATTGGCCTTGTTCCAATAGGTCTATCCTTTTATTGGTGCAATCAGCAATTTTCATAAACATGCTTCTAGGGAATATCTTCAGAAAGGTATTAAGCTCTGTAGAGTCTCTCGCAACATCCAAAAGAACAATGCCATATTCTTCTTCTGGTGGTTTGAATCTTGAACGAAAATTATCGGTGATTGTTCGCCAGTTGAAAATGCTAGGCACATATTCATCATCTGGTTGAGTAGCTTCAGGTTCTTCCTCGGATTTCTCAGGTTCTTCTTCAGATTCTGACAGCAATTCCGAGTATTGGGCATCTTGATGTCTATCCTTTTTTTTTCAAAGTAGATGAACGGTTTTGTTCTTCATCACTGCTTTCTCCGCTGTCTGAAGGTTTATAATCAGATTCATGAAATCCCTGGAACGGATCACTTTCTTCATCACTTCCAAAGGCCTCTTTTTGAATTTCTGCATCGGAAAGAAAACGGCGACTCATGACTGTAAGAAAAGACTTACTATACTGACGGGATCTTTTGTACCCAGCAAAAAACACTGATGGGACGAAAAAGCCCCGTTGAAAATTACTTACCAATATCGGTAAAAATATTAACAATTGACTTTATGTATACTTATTAGTAAGTTTTGGATCAGTGCAGGATAATAAATTTCACTATTTTTTACTAAAATAAGCGATAAGCGTATGCTTCACTACTAGTAAACACAACAAATACCGTATTTTTAGGTTATCTAAAACCACCTGTTCACGTGCAAATAATGTTGCCTACCTATCTGACCTATAAACTACTGATAATAGTTATTTACATGTTATTTCGGGGCTTTTAAAACCAACCAGTAAGCAAGGTTTGTTCTGCGGGGCCAAAAGATCCCCGCAATATTGAAAGGGTTAAACAATTTTTTTAAGCTGGACATTGTTAAAGGAGTTCCATTGTCTTCTTGGATCTTCAAGCAATAATTTCTGTAGAGATTCGCCAAACTTTTAGTTTCTGATGGCAAATACAATTTAGTACTCGACCCCCGGCAATAATGTGAGTAGAGATGCATCAAATCAAACTAGTTTGATTTGACAAGTCAAGTTTGATTTGACTTGAAAAATAAGTTTTTTTTATAAAAGAATTTGATTTGATTTGAAAATAAATTCGGGAGCTTGATTTGAAATCAAACTTTTTCAAACTGAAATAGTTTGAAATACGAAAAGTGTACGTACCGGCACCGACCATAACGCTTTTTACATTTTTTAAGGTTACACAATGAGACATAGTAGGGATACAGTATCCCGGCTGACGATACGTCGTCGTAAGATTATTTGTTTTAGATTTATATTTTGCCAAGCGTCGGAGGCACAAAACGCAGCCAGAGGCTTATGCTGACCACCTATCTCGTTAAAAAAAAATACTAATGAGTGATTTGGAAATGTCCGAGCCTGAACCATTTCAATCCGGCGGTTCAGAATTTATCCCTGATGAAAATGAATATGATTCTGAAGCCGATGATGTGGCGGCTATTCAACAAAACGAATTATTAACAAAATCAGCCTTCCAAAGCCAATGTAAAGATTCCGAAAATTTTGATATAGATGTAATAGCTTTCTTTCAAACATCTTGTAGTAAAATCCCAGACCTAGTCGATGAAAATTCTTGGAAATATTAAATTACAAAATATTTATCTGAAGGCAGGGCTAATAGTTCAGAAAATGTATTGAATTGATGAAAGAGGCACGAGACTGTATTTCCAATATCTAAAATGGCTAGAAATTTCTTAGCCATATCTGCTACATCGGCATCAATATAGAGGATTGTGTTAAGGGCTTCTCTAACAATTACCAAACGAAGGAATATACTAAATAATGAATATGTTATGTAATACCTATTAAAAGAAAGAGAGTAGTTAGCGAGTCTCGTCGTAGTCTAACGTATCAGTATTTTTTAATGAAAGATAATGTACAAACACGTGTATGTTTTCAGTTTTTAAAAAATACTTTAAACATAACTCAAAAGCTAGTTAGGTCTGCCAATCGTGGAAAAATTTGTGAAAATCAAGACTTAAAAGGTAAACACAAACCCAAACATAAATTAAGCTCCCAGCAAATTCAAAATTTTAGAAAATATATTGAAAGTCTGCCCGCTGTACCCTCACATTTAGAGATGCACGAGTTTGATTTGATTTTAAGAGTTTGACTTGAATTTGACTTGAATTCAAATCAAACTCAAATCAAACCTAGCAGTGCTTTGAATCAAATCAAATCAAACTATAACATTTTAAAGCTTGAAATATTAAACCTTTTGATCAAACTAGTTTGAAAGTTTGAATAATTAAATCGCTATGGTTTGCAAGTATTTTATTAGTACGAATATAAAAAAAGCTGCTTAATAAAAATAAAGTATTTATACTTCGTTTATTGAATATTAAAATAGAACAGAAATCTTGATTCACAAATTATAAATGTTGATTTACATTTTCATTTTTTCTTTATTTTAATGTTGAATAAAAGTCTGTTAAAACTCTATTAGCCGTCCAAGAATTTAAAGACATTAAACATATTAACACAGCCATTTAAAAAGTTTTTTTTATCTAATGAAGTTTTAAGCTTCCAAAATTGTCGAAAAATGTCGCTTCTTTCTTCCTTAGTAAAATTATTGCACTCGTTAACACACTTTTTATTAAAACATGGATTGGAAAGAAGTGATTTTTTGGGAACTGGTTGATTTTTATAGGTCAAGTAACTTTTGCCGGAGTTCCTTCTTTTTTTTTATAATACTATTTTCCTTCATTTTTCGCTTTCTTCCTTGGCCATTTTCTTTAAAAGACTAACAAGACGAATTAGAACTAGAAGAACTATCACTATCGGTTTCGGTAGCATTGTAGCCAGACTCCGTCTCGGAAGACATCTCAAACTCCATGTCACTTCCATTTTCATTTTCTTGAGTTTGTGCTTGTGAATTTGCATCTTCAGTTTCCTCTTGAAACGGTATACTATTATCTTCAGTAACTTCGTTGCTGCTTGAATCGGAGTAATCTACAATTATTTTTCTATCACAGTTTGGTGCTAATAATAAGTCATCAGTCTTCTTATATTCAGGTAAACTCGTTATTAATGTATCAGGATCCACATCATTTAAATTACTGCTTTGTTCATTGGTGGTCATATAAGAAGTAGTATTTAAATTAGGATCTTCGAGGTCAAGCAAACTTGTTACCAACTATTTACATGGAATCCAACCCCCGTGGTTTCAACTTTATTTTCAGGCTCTAAAATGATCACATCGTTTTGCAAAGCTTCTTGAAGAATATCACTCGCATTGGTGATAGTTGTTCGGTCAGTATTATTTTTTTTTTTGTTTGTTTTTGAATTGCGGACCATTTCCAAGCACTTCAGTCCTCGCGACGGCATCTAAAAACAATAGTATAATATTAAGTATCAAGAACAGTAAGAACAGTTTACCGATCAACGCTAATTATGGATGAGATTGATAAACTCCTTACTCTTCGAGATGCTTAAACTATTTTTTATACGACAATTTATTTTACAAATAACAAATAATTTACTTGTATGTCAAAAACAGAACGGTAAGTAATTTCCTACTGATGCATTTTAGCTTAGTAATCAGTAAATTTAATAATAATAACCTACTTTTCTAAAACCAATTAAGTACGTTAAACAATCGGAAATAGCAATTAAGAAAGGCGTAAGCGACACATATAAATCGAAAATTCAAACATTTATTTTGAGAGATCAAAAGATTTAAATAAATTATTAAATGTGTATTTGAAAATTCTACATAAACAGTCTTACCGTTGTTCAGTTGTTTTTCGAAACTTATTAGAATAAAGACTTCAAAACTTGTATTAAATGCTCAATGTATTTCAAATGGAAGCATGGCGAATACGCTGACGAAAAAAATAACAAAGAAAAGGTGTAACCGACAAAAACATTGTAAGATGGATTTTAGTGCTTAAAATTAATTTCTACTTCCTTGAAAACAGTACATAGTTTACAGTTTATATCAAACTTCAGAAAAATAAAATATTTTACTACTTACCTTCAGTAAAACAACGGTAAAACACACACTTTCATACACGATCTTACCGACCACCTGCTTCTATGAAAGTTTGTCGCTTAATGGCGACCGTGTCAAGCTCAACAAGGCACGAATGTGTCGCTTACCAATTTTAAGGTCAAATATTTCGCGTACCGAATTTTTGTCGGTTAAATCCTTTTGCCAGTTAATAGACACATTGGTTTTGTTAATATTGGTACAAAAATCTCATTTTTGCAATTTTGGCGCTTACGCCTTTTTGTCCTGACGCCGTGGATATTTTCAACCCCTTGCGCAGTGTAGTTATCCCTTTGAAAATGGCACCATGGGTCGACTAATAGCCCATTAGCAAGAATTTTTAATTTTCGAATCAACGGTTTAAATAATTTTAAATTTGCTTCATTAGTTTTTGAATGAATTTAATTTAAAGTTTGAAATGTACTAGGTAATCTATGTTCAAATAGGTTCTACATTGACGAAACTATAATGGACTTAATACCTTTTTACACAATAGAAATGTGCGAATACGGTCCAAATGGAGAAAAACGCCGTCCTATTCTTAACAAGGACAAGAGACTTGCGAATCGAGTCCTTTTTAACAGAAACATTAGAAAATTGGTAATAACAGTTTTTAGTGCTTTGCACAAATCGAACTTTTTGAAGTTCAAGAAATTGATACAGTTAGCGCAAGATCCGGAATCGATTAAGAACATGTTGACAAAACCGAAATCGACAAGTAAGTATTTAGTATATATCTAAAATATACAGGGTTTTGCAATAGTGACGCAGTCTCTCATGACTGGTGTTTCTTAATAGATACAGATTTAAAAAAATGGGTGTAATAGAGATGTTGAGCTAACGTGTAAAAATATATTGAACTATACAAGATTTCCCAAAATTGCTCAATTTTCAAATTTACGTGATTCTGTTTGTCACCGTATAACTAGCTACTACTGAAAAATAAAATTAATATGAATTAATATATATCGATTTACAGTTCCTTCGTCCTTCGAATATAGTCATTTTCTTTGTTTACGAATAATACGAAAAAAATGACTTTCACTTTTTGGGCAGGCGCTGTAGCAGCGGAAATGATGGGATTTTCCCGTTAAAGTGCGTGGTTTTCATGTAAAATGCGAAGAACCACTAAATATATACATTTGTTTTTTTTTTGGCGCTCTAACGGCAATAATATGAAGTTTGGCAAAAAATTTATACGGACATAATCGATAGAAAATCGTTTGCTCTTCAAAAAAAAGTCCAGTAATATTTTTGACGAAAACGCATCGTTTTTGAGTAAAAAACAAGACTAAAAATCTTATGTGTCCAACACATGACTTTCCTATCTAGTTATTACAGTCTTTTTCCGGTTATTTTATATTATAGAACCTCTGAAAATGTTTAGAGCTTAGAGGATAAACTAAATATATACATTTTCCACATACATCTAACTCGAAATATTTTTTTATATATACGAGTATTCATTGCCAACGAAAATACTAAAAAAAATTAAATTTTACACTTTTCTTCCAATTTTTCCATTACGGTCCATTTGAGAGAAATCATGTGTAAAACAAAAATTATAAAGATCGATATCGCAAACAACTTTTAGTGCAACAATTTTCTTAACAATCATAATTTTGCGCATTTTGTCAAATTTCTCGAATATGGACCATTTTAGGAAAATTTTGTACGAGGCAAAAATTATAAAGAATAATATTAGAAGTAACTATTATTTGAAGAATTTTCTTCTCCAAACGTAAATAACAGATATATTCCATAAAATATAAAAAGGACCCCCTATAATATCACCTACCTCATAGAGGGCGCTAGTTGTAAGGACCTCTCTATATTGAACATGATGGCCCCAATGAAAAAAAATAGGTTTCATACACTGACTCAAGAAATCTATAGTTAACGAATAGGCCTACGTTTTTGGGACATCCTGTATAGATATTTAGTACCTTCTTTCGATCATTCTCATCTCTCATAGTCCAAAGTTTTTAACCTCTACTATTACATATTGTTTATTATATATTTTCATTTGATAATACAATTTTGTAAATAGTAATACAAACTGTGTGCTTTTGCTTTAAAATCCCATTAGCCTTATTTTTTTGATAATACATACCACTACTTGTTAAAAATTAATGGCTTTTCGACAAAATTATTCTTCTAACGTACAAGTGCTACTGCATTAATCTTTTTACAGCTTATACCAACCCTGGAAATTAAAACATATTTACAAGCCAACAATGTTTAGCCAGAATAATTAAAAATTAATAAAATTGGCAACGCTTACGCCATGCCTATTTAAAGTTTCAAGGTCACAGAATTCTCACTTCAAAATCCTTTGATCTTTTACCGAGTTCCCCATCTAATACTCTGAGGCTCCAGTATAATAAACACTTGAACCGCAGTCAACATAAACAACCGATAAAGCAGATTTGCGACTGTCATTGTTATTGGTGATTTGTTTTTTAATTGTATCAGTTATGACTTGGTGAACCATTACTAGATATTGTATTCAGATGTCTATAATGCTAGCATGGCAAAGTCATAAGCCCGCAGAGCGATTTATACTGTATTTTTTGGCAAATTTTTTACACAAATTTTAATTCTTTTGCTCCTGCCGTTACCGAGAAACATTGGCCATGCTAGCTTGATTCCAAAGCTACAATGGCCAGTGCTGTATTTTTGTTTCTATGAGATATATCAGAATCGGATTTGTGGCATATTTTTTTGCTAATTTTTTGCTCTACAAATATATATCAATTTATTTTTTTGCTCTTGTGGTTTTTAAGAAACAATGGCCATACAGCTTGATACTCAAGCTACAATGGCCAGTGCTGTATTTTTGTTTTCTGTAAGATGTATCAGAATCGGGTTTACGGCATATTTATTTGCTAATTTTTTGCTCTACAAATATATATCAATTTATTTTTTTGCTCTTGTTGTTCGTAAGAAACAATGGCCATGCCAGCTTGATACTCAAGCTACAATGGCCAGTGCTGTATTTCTGTTTCTATAAGATGTATTAGAATCGGGTTTGCAGCATATTTTTTTGCTAATTTTTTGCTCTACCTATGTATCAATTTATTTTTTGCTATTGTGGTTTTTAAGGAACAATGGCTTTGGTAGCTACAGTGGAAAGTGCTGTACCTATTTACAACCTACAGAATATTTTTAGTGAAATATTAACCCCTTCAAATTGAGAAAACCATCTCCCATACCAAATGAGATATCAAAATGATTTTTATGCCATATTTTGTTGCTAATTATATACTGCTCATTAGGATCTAATCAGTGTTTCAATCAGTTCAATATCATAATTCTACTCAGGATCACGTAATATAATGCGTTCAAGTAATATAAAATATATATAACTGTAAGTATACTATATAAAACTAAAAAGGTAGTAACAAAAATGCTCTTTTTAATCTCCTCCATAAAAGTATTGTAATCGTAAAAAAGTCACCTTTTGATAATATTTCAGATTTTCACGTTTTAGGGTCCCTAGATTACGAAAAACATGTTTCCCCATTCTGTCTGTCTGTCTGTATGTCTGTCTGTCTGTCTGTCTGTCTGTCTGTCTGTCTGTCTGTCTGTCTGTCTGTCTGTCTGTCTGTCTGTCTGTCTGTCTGTCTGTCTGTCTGTCTGTCTGTCTGTCTGTCTGTCTGTCTGTCTGTCTGTCTGTCTGTCTGTCTGTCTGTCTGTCTGTCTGTCTGTCTGTCTGTCTGTCTGTCTGTCTGTCTGTCTGTCTGTCTGTCTGTCTGTCTGTCTGTCTGTCTGTCTGTCTGTCTGTCTGTCTGTCTGTCTGTCTGTCTGTCTGTCTGTCTGTCTGTCTGTCTGTCTGTCTGTCTGTCTGTCTGTCTGTCTGTCTGTCTGTCTGTCTGTCTGTCTGTCTGTCTGTCTGTCTGTCTGTCTGTCTGTCTGTCTGTCTGTCTGTCTGTCTGTCTGTCTGTCTGTCTGTCTGTCTGTCTGTCTGTCTGTCTGTCTGTCTGTCTGTCTGTCTGTCTGTCTGTCTGTCTGTCTGTCTGTCTGTCTGTCTGTCTGTCTGTCTGTCTGTCTGTCTGTCTGTCTGTCTGTCTGTCTGTCTGTCTGTCTGTATGTCTGTCTGTCTGTTTGTTTGTTTGTCTGTTTGTCTATATGTCTGTTTGTTGTCACGATATCTCAAAAACTGCTTTATAAAAAACCTTATGTTCTTTTATGGCTCAAAACCAGTTACACTTCCGATCAGTTATATATAGGGACAACAGTTTTTTTAATGATTTTTAGAAGTCGGCCGATTTCGACGAAAATTGGTATCTGAGAATTTTAGAAGCCAAAGATAACAGATCCTTAATAAGTTTTTAAAAATTCAAAATGGCGTTGTAAGGAATCGCATTTAATCAAAGAAGGTCCCCCTTGAATGGAAATAATAAAACTCGTCCTTTTAGTTTGTGTAACTGGACCTTTTAAAAGCAGCCAATCATTATTGTTCAACGGTGACCTTGATGAAGAATACTGAGCGGACTCGAAGTGGGCTTTCGGGTGGGATCAAGAGGAAGATCGATGGAGAGAGAAATGTGAAAAAGTTTTTGGTTTGGTGGTTTTAATTTTAAATTATTAAAATTTAAGTACTTAGCCGTTCTCTCTGTTTACAATTTCTATATCGAGGGAAGTTCTGGGTGAAATACTTTACCGATTTTTTAAATTTTTGTGTTGCCAGATAATTTTTATCCTGTTAGGTATCAGGATACTAATGGCCTTACCTTCAAAATTATGATATTGACATGATTATCAGATCTATATATTTGCTTATATCACCTATACCCTGTTTTTAAACTAAGAGGAGCGAATTGAAAAGACTCATTTACACAGAGAAAAGTAACTAGATTCGTTACTAAGAGCATGTTCCGAAATATAGTCATTTTCAAAATGTATGTAATAGTTGTTATTATCGACTCTAGTCGGCGAACGGCAAATGAGAAGTTAAGGAACAAATAAATGCCATAGGAGTCGATGTTTTTGTTGCTTTTGAAATCGACTATTTGAGGGTTATGATTTTTTTTAAATTAATATTGAGTATTTATAAAAGAATATCAAGATGCAGGTTAATATAAAACATAAAATTATGATCGTTTTACATTTTCAATGATATATTTGTAAAGTAAAAGGTAATCAGTGAATGGCAACTGGATCACACAGTGACTGGAATTTCTCCTATAAGTAATATGGACATTGTTAACCCATAGTTAATAGGCTAAAGGGCAAATGAAGGCATTTAAAAGTTTACAGGCCTATGAGTCAAGATTTGTTTTGAAAACTGGAACCAACATTTTCATAACAGTAGATGTCAACATTGTAAAGTGACTATTCATACATGCCTATGTATTAATGTTAAGTGTATATTTTTATATTTGTTGTGAAAGTAATGTTAGCTCATTATGCTAAATTAAGATTTTATTTAATATAGTAGATGGTATTTTAAATGTTAATTAACAATTTTATAAATGGTTTTATTATTTTCTAATAAATAATATTTACTTGAATATTTATTTACTTTTTAATCGTTTTGGTAAAAAATTTATCAATTTTTAGTTTTAAAAAATCAGTAATAAAGTTGATAAGTTTTTTTTTGAAATACTTGAGAATTCATCTTTTCATAGTAATCTTGGTAATCTTCCGTCTTTTTGGCTTTAAAACCAATAAAATATTTTCTAAAAACCTTCTTCATAATCAGCATGTAAAATA